ATAAACGCGCCTTTGCTTTGCCCACATGTGACGTCATGTAGATGATATTATCTTTGCTTCAAGATAGTTGTCTGAAGCCGTGTCTATAAGTATATATGGTCTAAGCTTACGACAATTTCATCCGCTGGTTTTAGCCAAATTTCTACAAAACTAGAACTCAAAGGCCGTTTTCCATGAAACTCATGTAGCAGGTTTCGTGGAACTGATCAATCACGTTGGTCGATCGTCTGATTTGACTCTGCAATTGGTCAATTCCACGAGATCTGATACTTGTGTTTAATGTAGAACGGTCTTTGAGTTCCACTTTTGTGGAAATACGGCTAAAACCAACGGCTAAAACCGTCGTAAGAAACTACAATGGCATGGCCGCTCTCAAGCTTCTCTTTGGTACATATACCCAACAGTGGCTAGTCGCGTATCTTCGCAATGAGAGGCACGAGGCCCGAGAAAAAGAGACGCACGAAGTCCAAATATGGGCATAGATAGTCGAGCGTCATTATGCGCAGGCGCATTTACCAAGTGAGTGCGAGCGAGACAAAGCATTAGAAAGTGAGAGAAAGAACGCGAGAAAGAGAAATATGCAAGCGTGCTTGAATGTTCATCGCATGCGCACAAAGCAGCTGGAGAGAGAGGCTACTATATTGTCTGCACCGTAACGATGAGCTTTTGGTCGGCACCGTACTAGCAATATAGGAGTATTACATATATGCATATACCAAAGTGTACCAACCTGTAATGTGAAGTCACTCAAACTATAATTTGGTACACTTTGGTATATGTACGGACGGCGTCAAAAATTCGCGGAGTCGGCGCGGGGATCGGCGGGCAAGCGGGGCGGTTGCTCGTAGCGGCAGCGAGCGCCGTACGAACTAAATTGTAGCAATTGGTTGTTCGCAACTACGTCGTGTCAATAATGTAACTATTCTTCTTTTCAATTTTCTTCTCAAAACGTATTGGCCATTTACTAAATATCTAACGTTAACAAATAACATGTATGTGTACATATGTGTGTAATAAATAAAATTATAATGTCTTCGGTATATAGAAAAAACGTACATTGTAAAAGTCTTGTTTAAAAAATTATATACTATTATATATAGCCACAAAATAAACAATTATATTAGATTATTATTATATTATATTATATCTATATATTTTGTGTATACACCCAACACAGACATCTATTCATCCAGACATCCATTAGACATTAATCTAGATGTCGCATGGAGCTGTCGACGTCTAATAGACATCTAATGGAGTTTTTGTTCTGTGTGAGACAATTATATATATGTANAAAGAACGCGAGAAAGAGAAATGCGCAAGCGTGCTTGAATGTTCACCGCATGCGCACAAAGCAGCTGGAGAGAGAGGCTACTATATTGTCTGCACCGTAACATTGAGCTTCAGGTCGGCACCGTACTAGCCAGGGTTGATATCAATACTGATCAATCGTCTCCAGGGAGTCGATTGTGTTTCGATTGTATGTCTCAACTGTTTTCGTAATGTATGGCTGAAGAGCATATTAAAAATCTTGATTATCCCCCCTATAATGTAACCGAAATTGCCTTTTCAAACAATGTACGTGCCATGCACGCAATACTAGCTTTCATTGCAGAAGCGCAAGTTTCCATTTAAAATAACATTTGTTCACTCCTTTTCCTGCCAGTCATCACTCCTTAGTCCTAAATTCCTAAAATTAACGAATCAGAGTCTTATTCACGTCATTAATGCTGCTCCGGAGCAAACCTCCGTTTCGGAAAACTTTTAAAGCCCCTAGTGTTGTGGGGACTTTCGTTACTCCAGTTGGAGACGTCAGACATTTAACCGTTTATCGGTGTTCATACCAGGAAAAACATGATTACAAGCTTAGAATGGCGTATGGACTAACTTGAATCGGTCCTTTGAGCCATATATGCACCAAACCAACCTATTAAAAATCTTGCAATAATACTTACCACACGTATTATTTGATAGAATTTGATAAAAAGGTCAAGAGAGTTGCTTATCGAGAGAGAAACCTTTGAAAAGTTTATTTATAGATTTTACAGCAAGAAAAAGTACATAGTAGACAAAACGCACATAGTAGACAAAAGTACAAGAAACAAACATGGTAAGCAAAACATACATATTATAATAGAAAACTATTTAATATATACGCAAATTATATTTTTTTTATTTTCAGTCTATAGCAATTCAAAGAGAAATTGCGAAAGCAAAAAAAATTTTACATCCAAATAGTCGAAAGGCAGTTATGATCGCAAAGAAAACTAAGAAGTGAATACACATAAGAAACTATATATCGATAATGTTGAGATTATATCTTTCCAACTATAAATATACATACTGATTTAATATTTTAGAATTTCAAACAGACAAAAAGCAAAAATGGCTGGTGTGATAAAACAAAACTTAGTAGGAGAAAAGATGATGTGGATTCAACAACATATGGTCCCTGATGTATGTCCCTACACTCCGGAGCTTACAGCAGAATTACTTCTAAAGTAAGCTTTGTTTTACAGCAAGACATTTAATTAATCGTATCCAATTTTAACTTTTGTGCTTTTATAAGTTTATTTTTTATGTAAAGATATATCAGGAGAAATGATGAGGAACTGGAGCAAATTGTTATAAAACATTCTATAGGAGGAAGAAAAAACAGACAACATGCCAGCAGAGAGGATATAATAAGAATGACTAAACAAAGAGAACAAGAGGAGTTTGACACTTGTGGCATTGGTATATATATATTTTTTATAACAATATATAATCTTACTTTATGTAGAGAGTGTGAATAATGTGTCACTTAATGTTATTTAAACACAGAAATCCCGGATATTTTAACTTCAACACAATGTGAGATGTTGAGAAATTGGAACGGAGAGCTGAGACTTTTATCTAATTTTAAATTTCGAAGATTCGGGAAGAAACACTTGAAAGATGCATTGCTAAGGATGGAAAAGCGGACAATGACAGTGGTAAATAAATCTACAGATAACACAAAAACTAATGTTTCATGTACAAGTGAGAAAATTGAAAGTACCGAAAAAAACAGTATAGAGGACAAAGAATTTAAGTGAAACTACTTTGTCGGAAAATACTGTGTCAAATAAGTGCTCAATGGATACATCTATTAAAAAAAAAAAAAAAATAGAATAAATTTGGAAATTAGGTATTTATTAAATAAATGCAATATTACATGTTTTCGAGATCTGGTATCTGGCTTTTATTAGGTGTTTACTCGTTTATTTCGTTGTCCTTCAGCCTTTAAAAAGTAGCTTGTAATATTTATTATTTAGAAAGTTTTGTCTTAAACAATCAACATCTAATACATGGTACACAGCGCGTCATTGAATCGCGGAATAGGCGCGGGATCGGAGGGCAAGCGGGGCGGTTGCTCGCTAACAAGCGCCGTACGAATCGTACGGCCCGCTTGCCCTCCGATCCCCGCGCCTATTCCGCGATTCNTTATTGTATTGAAAATGACCTAAACCACAGGTCGAAAACGTTCTACTTTTACTTTTATAATAAAGAAAATTAAAATTTGCACCTCTACATCTGTGTCTGCTTCTAAGAGCCATTGTTCTGTTAAATATTGTTTAAATTGTTGAAGCTTTACACACATCAAAATTATAATTTTATTTATTACACACATATACCATATACACATACATGTTATTTGTTAACGTTAGATATTTAGTAAACGGCCAATACGTTTTGAGAAGAAAATTGAAAAGAAGAATAGTTACATTATCGACACGACGTAGTTGCGAACAACCAATTGCTACTATTTAGTTCGTACGGCGCTCGCTGGCGCTACGAGCAACCGCCCCGCTTGCCCGCCGATCCCCGCGCAAACTCAGCGAATTTTTGACACCGTCTGTACCATACGATTGCCAAAAATCGCCTACTATGAGAAGAGAAATTTATTGCGCATAAAGGAATAAAAGCGGAAAAAATAGGGGTAGCGTTGCGTGCGGGATTGGTGGAACACTTGCTGACAGCCAATGGCTGTAGAGTAAGGAGACTTTGTAGTAGGGGAGGTGCGCGAAACGGACGAGGTAAGCCTGGTTTATGCGGGCAATACCTGTTAAGTTATGCCGGAACCGGTAGAGTTTAATTATAGGATTTCAATACTTCTGTTTATACGCATTCAGCAATTTTGTATAAACAGAAGCATTGGAATCTTATAGTTAAACTCTACCAGTTCCGACATAAGTTATCAGTTATTGCCCGCATAAATTAGGCCTTAACGTTCATTTGGTTTCTCTTCTCGATTTGAACCCAGTATGTCCTGTTTTGATTTCACACAAAAGATGGCGCCGCTTACCTGATAAATCGGCTGAGCCGGCGGCACGTGATCAGCATCATTTTCTCGTTTTTTGTAAACGTTACGATCTCTTTCAGAGACAGCTCGAGAGTAATTTGCACTATGAGTCTCAGATTTTCTTCTAATAGCTTTCTTTCCACTGCAAAATATAGCTTCCGGTTTTGCTATTGAATCTACGCAACTTGTCTGAAATCGATTAACAGTTCTCGTAAATTTTCACATGTCGCATGACAAAACGAAAAATATAAGCAAATCAACTGCGCATGTCTTACCTTGATAGATATAAGGAAATTCCCACCGGTTTTGAAATAATACTGCGCGTTGAATGCAACAATTACGAGTCTGATCCGGCTGTGTGACGTCCGCAAAGATGAAGACAGCTTAACAACGTCGATTAGATCTCTTTCTGTTCTTTGTGCAAAACTCCACTATAAAATAACTATAAAATATAAATTAAAGTACTAGAAAATATTAATTAAAATATGTTTCTATTTACTCAATAAATGAGCAAAAGTATTTTTAAAAACTATAGCGTTACTATACTATAAAAAGTGCAATACAGACACATCTTGCAGACACTTATAAAACCTTTAGGATTTTGACGGTACACGTTGCAAGATTAAAAGTTTAATAAAAAAAAATATATAGAATAATTCATCTGCTTCTTTTACTTTCTATTAATTATCATGCACTCTTGTTTTTTATTTGTCATAGACTCTGATTTCAGAAGACAACGCCGAGAAAATCATTCAGATATTCTATGCAAATTGATTATTTCAAAATGTGGTACACCGCCTGCTGTGTAAGGGATAAAAAAACAAAGATCGAAATTTAACGGTGCCCGACGCAAGAGATCTTTCTTGATCCAAACACTGGATAAAATCTATAAAGTATTTGTTTTTTCTTCTGACTGATGTTACGGAAACAAAATCGAGATTTTTAGAAAAATAGAAAAGATGATATACTACATAAATTCAAATTTTCCACATTTCTAACAAGGTTGTCTGTACTAGTTAACAATATATAATGAAACATATTTTTTCTACTATTGAATGATACCACAAATGTTTCTAATCAAATGTGGCGTTACGCTCCTTTAAAAAATATAAAATATAAAATATAAAATATATTAGAAAATGATGGAAACATCACTCAATTATACGATATACGATTAGACCATTTCTATACGCATTCAATACTACCTGCTGTGTTACATGGGTTACAAAAGACGACCGGTCGGGCCCCTTTTTTTCTCTCAAAGAGACCGGCACAAGGTAACGTTTCACGAAATAGAAATTATCATTTGAGATCTACTCAACTTGTGCAGTTTTTGTTCTTACGTGAAAAAANTCGGAGGGCAAGCGGGGCGGTTGCTCGCTAACAAGCGCCGTACGAATCGTACGGCCCGCTTGCCCTCCGATCCCCGCGCCTATTCCGCGATTCAGTGACGCGCTGTGTACATGCCTCGCTTATATGTTATCGAAGTAAACAAAAAAATAATCTTTTCAAAACTAAATTAGAGTTTTACTACTTCTTAAAATTGACTTTAAATATCTTGCTATGGAATTTGGACTCTTCTCGTTTCTGCCAGTTTGATCTTAATACTTCAAAAGCACATTTAAAGTAAAATAATTTGTAATCAACATACAAAGATGTTTTTTCGGGTTTGAACCGCGTTAGTGTCATTTTTATACCGACGTTTCGTGAACATTACAGCTCACTTCATCAGGGTTTAAAGAGCAGCCTGATATTGAGATGCTCTTGGTCAGGTGTCCCTTTTTATAGCGCTAGATTGGAGTGGGAGGGGGTGTGGTGAAGAAGGGGTGGAATGGTAAGAAGAAGGGAAGGATGTGTTATGGCAAGATGGAATGTCATAGTGAATTAGTCATATGTCCATTGTCTCTATTGAGATTGTTTGGATGTTTGTATATCTCCAGAGATTCTGTATATTTTCTAGGGAAGTAAGCCCTAGTTTTGTTTAGTACTTGGGTTTGGTCAAACATAATTTTGTGATCAGTTTCCAAATGGTGTTCTGCTAATGCCGATTGTGAGTAATACGTACTGCTGACTGATGTTCTTTTAGTCGTGTGCTTATCATTCTACCAGTTTCACCTATGTATACTTTACCGCATGAACAAGGTATTTTGTACACTCCTGGTGTGTCTAATGGCGGTCTTTTGTCTTTTGGATTGTTAAGAATCTGTCCTAATTTGTAATCATACGAATGCCATTACGCAGCGGTATGTTGCTTGTGCATAACACCCAGCCAATAATTTGCAGTCAATAATTCGTTGTTTTTTTATGCGCAATGCGCAATATAAAATATCAAGAGAATAGAAAATTTCTCGAAGGCAAGAAAAATCGACATCAAAGATACATACATATTGCCGGTATATATATATTTTTTTTCTAAACGCTCCAATCGATAAATCAAAGGAATTCTGTTTGCGACAAGAACTTCCTGTGCGTTATACAGTTGCGTCCGCATTAGCGGTTGCAAAGAATTTCTCTGAACACTCGCCCGGATCATTCTGGCGTAAAGAGAGAAGGGCGACGAGTGAAAGTTAGCGAGGCTTGTCTTGCAAATTATTAACGGCGATTCTTCCCCGCGCTTAATAAAGAACGATTGGTTCCTTAACACGTCCGCGCGGCACATCAAGCAAGATAATATCTATTCATTTTATCGATCACTCATCGTCACGCAAATGATTATGTAAATATATGTACATGTATACATGTGTTGCAACTCGCGCGAAACTCATCTTCTCTAGTAGCAATTTTTATCCGTCGCGGGTATACATCTTGATATATTATAGAAAATCGCAATCACAGTGATCGCGTGGCGCATGAATTAAAATTGCTCGGTAATCTTCATAACATCGCGCAGCCTTGCATCGTCTAATGACGCTCGACCGTAAGGTTAATAACTGGACAACGCACAAATCCACCTTCGTTTTTCCTGAGATCAGTCTAACTGTACACATTGGAGTAATAATCGAGAAGGAGAAAAAAATCAACATTTTATTTACATACATGAATCTTAAAGAAACATATGATATATAGTATGGACTTTGTTATTTTTAACTCAGTATATATTCTGTAAAGAAATGTTTTATATATTTTTTTTTTCAAAAATTTCTTTAGTTATGAACAATTTTTTATATTTTTATGATTCTTCAGAGGCAAATTTCGATATACTGATTTAAATTATTTCTCTAATTTATCAAGTATGAATTTGAAACACTGTTTCTTCGAGATTCGCTAATTTTCCTTCGGCTATATCTCCGTCCGCGAAACTGCAATCTGATCCTCGCTTCAAGGGTAGCTCTCTCGCGAGCTGAACATCTGCGCGAACTAACAGTATATATAACCGTATTGAGATTATGTAAGATTTCTTAGCGCCGATAGCCGGTGGATGGTAATGGCAGATGCTTTACGCCGGTAAACGTAATAGTAGCCGGCGTTGCGACCGATGATGCATAGCAAGGTCTAACGGTGGAAACACCATAGCATCCCCCGTAATTGGAATTCGATTCACCTTGGTGGGTACACTTGAAACTTGAGCGGCAAAGTGCTCTGCCGATTACGCACGTTGTGCATGAATATCGGTGGCAAACCGATGTTCGTGAGATCAAGTGAAGAGATGCGTTTGTGTAAAGATATTAATGAGCGACGTTTACATTTCGAATAATGTCATTATTTTCTCATGCGAACCGTGCGTGTCCCAAGACAGAAAGTTGTTTCCGTTTTTTTCGAGCAATCGAAGCGAGTACATTCCGACGTTTCGATTTGTGTGTTTAACGAAGGACTATGTTTATCTCTTTCCTCTAAGTCGGAAAGAAACGATGAGCCTTCTTCCGATTCTTTGATTACGCGTGATCACACTCAATCAGATTGCTCGACAAGGTTTTATTAGCGTAGTGTAATATCCTGCGTCGATGTGTGCGCAATGCACCGCGAAGGTCTCTTTTCTCTCTTATCCAGCGAGGAAAAATAATAGAAAGGAAATCGGCAATGCGATTATTAATGACTTTAATGACGGCGCGGCTATACTTCGTAGGAAGTATCACGTTAAGTCGATCTATCGCTGGAAATATAAGACACGGCTAGAAACGTAATAGTCACGATGAAGAACTCATTTTCTTCACTCTTCGATTACCCTGAAGTAAAACAAATCGCTTTGCGTGCCCAGTTCGCGTTTTCCAGACGCGAGATGGATTTTTCATCAAATTAATTGCCGCAACTATTTTTATTAAAGCGTCAGCGGCCGTCAATTAACAACCAATTGCGAACTGTTATAACTGTTAACAATATTTTATTATATATTTGCGAGACGAAAGAATACGAAAAGAAAGAAAGAAAGTAACTTGAGGAAGAACGTTTCTTCCTTCACGTCTTCTTCGTTCCGTATCGCATTACCGATCATATGATCGAAAAACCATCGGACATCGCATGTATCTCGCTCGTTATTCAGTTTCTCGATCCGTAGAGAATGCAACTGCGCTGGGGAAAGAAGTTTTCCGAGAGATATATGAGAAGAGATGAACGGACAATAATTTCTCCGGAGGAATCTCGGCGGTGGAATTCGAAGATCACTTGTTAAGTCAGTTGGCCGACATGAATACTTGAGGAGACGAGGTCTCTTCGCGCGGCCAGTAGATAGAAAGAAAAGAAAGAGAAAGAGAGAGAGAGAAGAAGAATATACGCGTCCTCCGTGATCACGGCATCCCTCACCGTGCTAGCGAATGTAGGTCCTCGGGTCGGCACCTATAATGCGAACTGCCTCCTACCTTCGCTTCGCGCAATCGCTTCGAGAACAGTGCGTCTCTTTCCCTCTTCTCTCTCAGCCTTCGGAGTTCATTGAGAGCACGATAACAGGTGTCCCGCATACCGGGCGACAAACCCAAACCCGAAGCAATAGGTCCTAGTGCCATATTTTTTTTTTTTCAGTAGGACACCGGTCATGAATATGTAAATGCGATGGATGAGCGAGCGTGCGCGGTTTTTCGTAAGAGGGAGTCAGATAAAGGTCGCGCGTTATTCATATTACACCACGGTGCTCAACGGCGCGGTGTGTGATGGATCAGGAACTTCAAATTTACTCGGGGGTTCAACGAAAACAGTTTATCCTACTTTCGTGCGCTTCGAAAACGTACATCGAGCTCGTTCGATGACAGTTCACGTGCCTCCTCGTTTCCCCGACTTTTAAGGCAATATAGCTTTGGGACCGTAACAGCGCGCGCCACATCTGCCCAATGTGACAGTTAACGGGTGCAGCGAGGTATCCGTGTCGATCAGTAGCGGCGAAGAAAAGAAAAAGAACCGAAGAGAGATGGACCGGATCTATCTTGACGCTGATCAATAAACTTAATAAATTAGTTTCTACATATGTATAATTTTGTCTACAACACGAAGTTTATACATCACTGCCATCTTCATCACGACTTTGTGAGATACGAAAAATCGGTTCGCGAAACTTTTAGCGGAGACGGTCTCCCGAGTTAGCCAAGCGATCGACCGCGAGGAGGTTCTCCGGTGTCCCGGTGCTGACCAGCCAACCGCGAGAACGCCCGGGGACGAAGAGGAAGAAGAAGAAGAAGAAGCGGGAAAAGGTGGTCGAGAAGGTAGGGAGAGAAGACGGCGAAGAGGGGCCCTGTACCCGCTTCTCGCGTCTGGCCTCTCTCTCTCTCTCGCGGTACACCTTTCTCCGGTTCCCCAACACCCGGCGGCGGGCCTTGGTTTCCCTTCAGTCCTCACCGGGACACAGACAAAGTTACGCACCCGGAGAAAGGTCAATCGGTCGGCCGCTCCGTCGCGGAGCTCTCTCGTGACTCTTACATCCGGGCGAAACCAGGTGTTAATTTTCAATTTATCGGGGAAGAAAGACAATTGTTTGACGTGACGCGTCTTCAGATTTGTCGGTCGATTTTGTCTTTTTCACACAATCGCGGTAATTTTTTTATTTACACGTTCTTCGTTTCCCCCGAAAAAAAAAACAAAAAAAAAAAAAACAAAGAGGTGATCGAGGCGAGGTGTTCTGGTTGGAAAACTGGACGCACCGAGATCGCTCCATATGTAACGGACGGAAGCACGCGGGAGATCGGTTCACGTGGGAAGTGCGCGTCATCCTCTTCTTCGTTGACTTTGAGCTGGTTCAAAGTGCTGTCGCTTCGAGGGACACGAACAGATGGGCGACGACATGTGGAGGCTTTGGTTTACGAAATTGCTCCTGTTAGTGACGCTGCTGTTGGCGATCACCGCGCTAACGCGATCCGAGGGTGAGTTCTCGCACGTTAGAAAATAGCGAAGGAAAGACATAGCGAATATAAAATAAATTTATATATAAATTAATGTTAACAACAGGACGAGAAAGTTAAAAGTGTTTAATTAATCTGTTTCCTTCAAGACATCCGTAACGAAGCGGATTTTTCCTTTTCAAACGCAGAAGAGTCCGCGGGTAGAAAGAGTGCGAATTTAAGAATCTAATTACGCACGTCGTGAAACAACATCTCCCGACGCGTGTAATTTGTTGAATTCGCGTAGTTTTAAACCCCCGGCACAGATACCATAATTTGTTCGTTACAGATGTTGACATATGACTAACTGCCGTACGAGCGGACAAGTAGATAGCGAATCTGCTCGGCTCGTCCGTGTAACACGGAAATAGCGCGCGTGCACGTGATAATTTCTTTTGTAACACCTGTTCTTCCGCGTTTACCGCGGGCGATGTAATGCGGCGTTTTCCATTAACAGGACATCTACCCGTCTGTGCAAGACTTGTGTAACGCTAGGCTCGGCAGAAACGAACCGGCGCGTAACCGCTTCTGTTTTTTTTTCTTTGCAATTAAAAAATGTGCGCGGCGTAACGAACGGAAAATTAAGAAACAGATCTCGCATCGCGTTTGCTCTAATGAATGAAGCGAAGTCCGAAGAAGAAAATGAGAAAGAGTGAAAAAAACCCTCGGACTTACATTTGTCAACGTTCAGACGAGCGCGCGGAATTTGCGTTACGATTTTTCCTCTCTCTCTCTCTCTTTCTCCGTGTCCGAATCTTTACATCACGGAAATGAATTTCTCGTTACGCGATTATTACGCGAATTACACGTTAAACAATTCGACTGACGCGATGTTATCAATGATGATAACTCTTTAATTAACGCAAGAGAGATTACGAGATGCTCCCCGTGATCGCAGATTTACGGAAACGCGTGTAGAAGGCATCGCTTACGCTTTATGTGTTATAAACCGCATAACGGTTTACGCGGGTTATGGTGTTCAGTGGCGTGTACTTTATACAAGCGCATCCGCTCGTTCGATACCTCGATCCAGTATCGAACGAGCCAGACAAATCCGCGTTTCTCCGATTGTAACTGCCGAAAAGCGCCGTTACGTAGTACACTTCGGTTTTCCGGTTATCATTTGTGTCAATATGCAAAACCTACTTGTATTCATTCTCTCGTATATAACGACGTTATTAAATCTTTTATATAATCATCGTGCGGTTTCTATTAACGCATTATCGTTGCCTTTCATATTTAGAAATTTGCGTTTTCATCAATCTCTTCGAGGTCGCGCCTTGCTGAAAATAACACATTTGTCATTTTAAAATATCGGTAAAACTGACAATGACGAAGCGAGACTAGCCGTAAACAAAATACCATGATTTTAAATTCCTATTTGATTCCGCAACCTCTGTCGTGTGGCTTAATCGAACGTTTTTTGAATGAAGCCATCCTCAACGTGATATTTTTGTCGATGATGCGCGCGCGACGTCCGCGCGAATTTTCGACCGGGATCGAGATCGGAGCGCGTTATACCGAGCATTTTTATTGGCGGCGGTTGGCCTTGCGCGGACACTTAGTTCTTAGACGAGAGCTGGTCTCACATTCACTCCTCGGGAAAGAGAGAGAAAGAAAATGGAGAGACGTCAATGATCTCTTCTAACGAGTCTCTCTCGATTCTGACAGATCGACGAGAGTCGCTCGCGAGACTCTCTTGAATATGGAGCGCGTGCGATACTTCGCGCAATAAATCTTCGGTGTACTTTGCGGTGTGCTTTGGCGAACATCAGAAGAGATTGCGATAGCTCTCGCTTGAGAAAAAGCGAGACGAGCTTATTTTATTTACGCTTCGGCTCAAATTTTCAGAACAAAATTTTCTTAAAATCCCAACATAATAATTATTAACAATTAAATCTTATTGAAGCTCGATAAGTTACTAAACTAAGAAATATATTTACGGTCATCCGAGCCGATCGCAGGATGTTGTGCGGAAAACTGCGCATATATATATATATATATATATATATATATATATATATTTGTTCGCGTGTAAATTTAATAATAATTATTCTGTCTCGTTATAAAAATTTATCAAAAGAGTTTATTTTACGATCAGAGAGTTACGTTTTTTAGCATTTTGCGCGTTAGTTTCTTCTTAATAGACAACGTGTGTTTTTGCAACGAAATTTTTTTCTCACAGAAACGTTACGTGAACCTAGCGGATAGGATGGTAATGCGATTTATGGCGCAATTTGGGCAACGAAAGGAACGAACGCTCGTTTACAAGTAATTTTTCACCGGCTGAATCATTTTCGAGGTGTTCAATAAAACACTCGGCAAAATTTACGACGCGAATTTAAGACGTAAATCGCCGGTTATCGCTAAACATCGAATAAATAGATTTTCCATTCGACTTTTCTTGGCGTTTTATACTTAGTTCTCTTGCGAGCCGCGAAATTCCGCACAACACACTCGTTTTGCCGTAGTTTTTTATTTCTATTTAATATTAACGATACGCGAGAGAGATAGAGAGAGCGAGAGAGAGAGAGAGAGAGCGAGAAAGAGAGAGAGAAAGACGTTATTTGATGTGAATCGTTTTTGTCAAAGCGGAGCCGCCTGCATGTCGCACCAAGTTTTACGCGAAGGGAAAGTGCCACGATCGGCAAAATAATAATGAGCGTATCTCATTGGAAAGCTCAGTTGCCAATAGTGGTTCTGTGTTTCATTGCCTTTCTTGTTCGTTCGGGAGAATGTTAGAAATTGAGAACACGGTCGGTAGAAGAAAAAACATTTATAGAGTCTGTGGACCGGACTTCATTTTTTTGAGATGTGTGTCCAATGCGCGAGAATCATTTGTTTTTTTTTTTTTTTTTTTTTTATTACATCTATTTGAAGTGTCTTTGATTTTGGACCTCTTTCGTCTCCTCTAAAAATCCGAATTGATTTTACACAATTTTGCGATAAGATAAGAAGAAGCGGGATATTTATTGTGGCGTAGAACCTATCTTCGACTATTCGATGTTGTTCTCCTGGCTTTTCGCCGCCTCTGCTATCGTTTATGCCGGATACTTTCTCCGGCGTTGAATAGAAAAACGTTCCCGCGCGATGGCGCGCCGCCTTCGGAATCGCTTTTGCGCAATCGTCACCGCGACACCGTGTAAGGGATGAATTCCGTTCGCGCCGTTCTCATTTTATTTACACGAGCGCGCCGTGAAACGCGCGTCAGACCGGCGCGAATCGCACAGGGTGTGTTCGTCAGACACACGTCTCACAGCGGGCGGATGTTCTTGCCCGCGATACCGGTTCGGTTATTACTCTTGCGAAGTTTATGCTTATCTCTCTGTCTCCCGTGTGTAACGAAAGATAACCGGATCTTCCGCGATGGTGCGCCAGATAAACATTTCGCGATGAGAAGAGCGAGCGGGGAGCGCGCTTTCCTTGGATACAGGAGAATAATCGATCCATAATTGATCTGACTCTTGAAATTCGCCGCCGATATTACATTTGTACGCGTCGCGTTATCGAAGTAACAGTGAAAATGTTCAGGTTTTTGTTCAAGGACGCGAGAAATGAATTCGAAAGGGATGCCGGGTCACGGTCATCGTCTACGAGTGTCCTTAGCGACGTGTGCGCCGCCGCATCGATGACGATTAAATTTAATTAAGCGGCGATTGATATATGCCGTTCGTTTTTTTTTCTTTTACATAAACGCGCGTCAGGTTAATAAAACGTTTATCGCTCATCTTGTATATACTATTATTTTTGTTCGCTGTTCGCAAGACGTTTTCCCGTAGCCAAACCCGAGTCGAAATTTTGATGCTACTTTCAGACTTTTGAAGATACTTTGAACCTATTTAGCTGACCAATATACTTATTTAAACCTACTTTGACGATTATATTCATTTACTCCTCTTTTGAACCTTT